CTTCTTGCAGTGGGTTACAGATGAAAACAAAACTGTGAGAGCTAATCCATATTTGGTGCCGCTATATCTATGTTTAAAGGTGGAACAAGTGGTGGTGATAGGTGCTGCATGGTAATCAGCTCCTCTCTACTATACTTAATCCTTTGATCTATATCAAAATATTGATCAGGGGTTAGATAAAGACCATCACAATACAAATGACTAGCTAGATAAAAGCAGTAAGAATACTATACTTACCTAATGCCTCCTTCTTGAACAAGGTGGGAGATACGGATGACTTTCCTTCTCTTTGTTTCAACTTTGAGGCCTTCAAGCTCTTCTGTGACAGAGCTGCATCAGGGCTGGAGCAGTTAAGGTCTTCTGAAGCTAGAGATAGATGATCATGCCTCACTCTGATACCAGGATACTTCTTAGAGAATGATGTCAGAGAATCAATGGTTAAAAGCCAACACCCTCTTAAATCGAGTACTTCGAGTGTTACAGGTGGGTTGAACAACTCAATTGCCCCATTGGTCAGAAGAGTACCCTGAATGCTAAGTCTCGCCAGCTTTTTTACTTGTGAGAGATATTCCAGGCACTTGTCGGTGAGGGCGGTGCTATTAAGTGATAAATGGCTTAGCTCCCCAAAACCTAGTAGTACATGGACAGCTGCATCATTCAACTTGGTCTTTTCCAAATTCAATCTTTCCAAGTGCTTCAGGTCCTGTAATGCAGCTAGCGAGAAGACTTCATCTTCATTGCTACTCGGATGAGTAAAACCTGACAAATAATGCCATTTCAACTTTTGCTCAACACAATTTAATACTTTGTATCAATAATCTGAGTTCCAAATTACCTTTAATATTTGTATTGCTCAAGTCAAGTGTCTTCAGGGAAGGCATTGTACTCATGTATGCTATGGCAAAATCATCAATTAGTGTGTGAGACAATGACAGAGCTTCAAGGTTAGGAACATGTCCTGCCAAAATTTCCAATCCGGCATTGCTGACTTTTGTGTTGTTCAGATTTAAGTGTCTCAAATTCGCACCTATACAAGAAATTGCTTCAACAGCATCATCTTGTACAGTGCAAGAGCTAAGATCCAAATGTTCTAGAGCAACCATGCAACGCAAAAAACCAAAATTACTAAGAGAGGTGTTTGATAGATTCAAGAAAGACAGACAGCTTGCCTCAATAGTTGAAAAGACTATCTCAGCCTCCGGGAATGAGGACCCATGGGCAATCAGCTTTCTCAGGGTTACTCGATCACTTTTATCTTCCAATGCAGAAAGGATGGTGCAATCACTCATGTTCAAGCTTTGAATAGACTGCAGATTTGGAAAATTGGTGATATTGGTCCAAGCTACATTCAAGAAACTCAACTTGGGAAAGTTCTTTAAAGCTGCAGCCCCTTCATCAGATATTTCACTCCCCCAAACATCAAGATACTCAAGGTTCGTCAATTCCTATTATGCAAAGAAAATAGTGCAATGCATCACATGTTACAGCATTTCTACTGTGAAAAAGTAAAGTATTGCAGGATTAAGAGGCCAGAAACATAAGCATCAACAGAGGGATAAAACCCTACCTGGAGGGAACTCAATGCAAAATCAGAAACAGGCAGCCCTCCTAAGTCCAGTGTAGATAGATTCCGAAGTGCAGAGAGAAGCTTTACACCATCAGCAGTTACTCCTGTCTGTGAGAGGTGAAGTTTCTCTAGTTGTGACAAGGATAGAAGATGCTTTATACCAGAATCAGTGACTTTCATACATCTTGAAAGGTCAAGCTGCTTTAAGCTGGTCATCCCTGAAAATGAGAGATGAGCATGAACAGAAGTTCTCGATATACCAGAAGTTCCAAACAGCAAGTTTTACAGAAAATAAAGACTACTATTCCCTTTTTTTTATTTTTTTAAGAATATCTCATTCCTTCTTTGAAAACACAAACCTGTACTGTGCACAAATCTCTGGCAAGGCATACCAATTTTTTTTTTTTTCTTCCGGAAGGGCCAGGTTAACAATAATCACATCATAACAAGCCACTTAGCCTAGCTATCCGATTGAACCAATACTGTAAAGAACTAGACTTTTGTAGTCCATTTGTCCAACATACATGCATAAATACAACAGGTAATCCATAATTACCAGGATATATCCCATCAAAGAGACTCTTTTACGAAAACAGGATGCCACAAGACATCCAAGAACTTCGAGAACATCAAGGCTAAGGATTTCATGTTCTAATTCAATACTGAAATCATAGTCACACAACTGAACCAGGAAAGAAAACAAAAGTCTCGGAAGAAAATGTACACCTGCAAGAGGCCAAAGCGCAGGGTTATTAATCCTGTAGCAGTCTGCCACATTGAGGGAACGCAAATAAGAAAATGCTCCCAAGTATGCCATCCACTCCGCATCTACTGAGTTCTCCCCGCTTAAATCAACCTCCTCTACGCTAAATTTGAACACTCTACACAAAAATCCACATACAAAGAACAAAATCAAACACTGACCAAATCACAAATGTGAGAGAATAAAAGATAATATCCTATCTTAATTCATCCTATATCACTATTGCGCTAAATTTCAGAGTACATTATAGCTCTGAACACCTAGGCTATTTTATGCTCATTTGGAGTACGAGCTAGGTACACTCGGGTGTATAATTGAAATCGCTAATACACTCTCAATTGAACATCCTCAAAATAATTTAATTTAAAACCAAAGATCCATATACTCTTTCACTATTCAACTAATTAGATTCCTAACCCTCAAACAATGTAATCAGGCAACAAAAACAGAAAATTAAGTTTCAAATTATATAATCATAATCAATTCGTCAATTGAAACAACAGATAAACATAATTCAAACTTGATCAAACAAAATCGAATATCATCAACTTAATCAGTAAATTCTGACTATGAATTGAAGATATAATAATCATCAGATAATACAATAAAATACAATTCAAAAAGAAAGAAAGAGAAACAAACTCGAGCAAGGAAGGAAAGAGAAGACGGCGATGCAAAAGGCGGTGGAGAAGAGCGGAAGCGAGCGGCGAAGGGAGGCGTTCCAGAGATCGGCGCTGCATCCGCCATTTATCGACGGCGTATCTGCTATCAGTCGCAGCATCAATGCACATCCTCGCAAGTCTACTGTCAATATTCGCCATTTTTGTCACTCTTTCTCTCTCCTCAAGCTTACTTCCTTTCATGGCTGTCTTTTGTTGACCACTTTTGTTTTCTACTTCCGTTTGTTAGCTGAGGAGAAAATAACAAGTATTATGCACTTTGGCTTGTCTTCTAATTTCTAAAAAGGTCAATAATTATGGACCCGTTCGGAAACTTGACTCGAAAATGTTGTGTTTTTATCCTACTTTGATTAAATCGGAAAATAACGTGTCAAGTTTAATATAGGTATTGTTGTCCTGATTGATTCATTAAAATATAAGTTAAGATCATAAACAAACATTGTTTAACAACCTAAGATGGCATGACTCAACTAATGTGTTTAGTATGTCTACTTTTAGCTCAACTTTTACTGCTTTAAAAGCAAATTAAAGGTTTAAGGTTTGACTCATCAGATTTTAGATATGTTTAATACAAAGTAATAGTTTATACTTATGTATCAACTAAGTACAATATACTAAATTTGAAAAACCACTTAAAATACAACCTTAGTCCTAAATCGTGCATGATTCTTTCAAAAAAAATTTGCTTAATTATGCAACTAATGCCCTTTGATGAAAATTTTTATTCATTAAAAGTTGAATGCTTGTTGATATTGTATCAACTAATTTTGCTAGACATAATATACTATGTATGTGCAAACACTAATGTAATGCAATCAAGCAATAAGCTAGTCACATAAGCTAATGCTTCCTCTGTTATTGAATAATTGATATAATAGTTTTTTTTTTTTTTTTTTTGCTATTATATTAATTTAATAAAATAAATATGAAAGATGATAAATACAGAATAATAAAAAAGTACGATCAAAATAAAGATCATAAAAGGAGGGATAAATGAAAAAATAGCAAAAAAAAATATCAACCTTTTTTGATATTTATATGATTACATCAAAATCAAAAAATTCATTAATACTTCGTAGTAGATATTCATTGTTGAAATTTAAGCATTGTCCGATATAACAATGAACTAAAGTTGCGATCTTTATAAATTGAGGAAACATATGGATAGACTAGTTAAAGTGAGATTATTAAAAATAAAAATGTGTCAAAGTATAATTGAATTTGAAGCTGCCAAAAAATGAACTTCTCAAAAAATGGCAGCTACCAAAAATTCTCAGGTCCAAGTAACCGCGGCATCCTTAAACGACACGTTGTCCAAATATTACTTGTTACCTTTGATGATGAATCATCCACCGATTAAACTTCTTTATCCACCTTACATCTGTACCCTTTACTTTCAATCTCAGCCGTCCACCTACACCCCCAACTCTTTCAAACTCCCCTGAATTCGGTCATCAGAGTTTGCGATGATATACCACATTCACATTTCTCACTAGCATGTACTGCATACATACTACGTACACACTTTCTAAGCTCAAATTAAATTACCGGTCACCGTTTAACTACTATGAACGGTCACACATTATGACTTATCGTACACTGGCCCTCAATCGTAATCACTATTTTGTATGTTAGATGTATATATCATGTAACAAGAAGATGCTTTTGTACAATATCAATACTGAATAAAGTTGATAATATGTGTATACATTGTTTTGTGGATCATCATTACTCTGTACATAATACGTGTTATGTAAGGTGACAATAGTTTTAAAGTCCTAGACGGTCAAATTAAACTTTGTATGAGAAGATATTATACGTGTCAGTTTAATAAGATTTGTAGTAGAACAGTAGACGGGCTAGTAAACCGAACTACCTAATTGATGAATCCAATACAATGTTTACAAGGATAGACCCTTTACTATGAATCATGCATATGTGTCCATCTTCTATAATATACAATCCTTTCTTTTTACATACACTTAATGAATCACCTCTTTGCCTAGTTATATTGCCTATATATACATTTACATAGAAAGTTGTAGAAACAATAAAACATCTTCCAAACAACCGATGAATCCACTTTTCTTCTATACCACTCTTCTTTCTCTTCTTCATCCTGCTTTTACTAGTGAAGAATTAAATGTATCACCCTACTAAATCCATCAAGTTAAGGGCAGCTAATAAACTTATGATAGGTGTAATACATAACCGCCGCCGCCAACCGAAGAGGACTCTTCGGGGATTGAGGAAAGTTAACCCTAATAAAAACAACAAAACCACCGTGCCGTTTTCGAGTTTGGTCGACGGTAAAGCGGCGAGTTTTAGCAACTCGGCCGCTTCGAGCAGTCCGCAACTAGACAACTACGAGGTGTCCTCATCGTCTTCGTCGTCGTCACCATCGTCTACAACAACGACGTCCCCTCAAGGTAATGAGTTGTATTGTTTTCGGAAACTTGATTACGTAGTGGTTTACTCCGTAAGAAGTATTATTATTTCTCTCTTCAATATTTAATAATTCTTCTTCTTTTTTTTGAGAAAATAATAAATTATTATTTCGCTATCTCTTTTCTATTAGTTTATAATTCCCTATAAATTCTACTTATAAAATAGTTTAGTTTATTTAACTCACCTTTCTAAAAAATTATGTCGCAGTCAAGTTTAAAAAACAGAAGAATTACGATCTTAAAAAGGTTTAGTACCTATTTTTAAAATTTGAAGCATATATCGTGTGTATTTAGATCTGTACGTAAATAGGTCAAGGTTGGAGTAACAATTGTAGATGAAAATAAAAACCCTTTTGCATATTATATATGTTCACGCATGTATGTCTACGTCATACACTTATACATAATAGTGAATTAATAGGACCATGTATATATTCACGACGTATTTATCAACAATTTGTAAATGTTAGTAGTAATAGGTTGGTGATGATATTTTGTCTATTCAATATTCTGATATACTTCTTAAGAGATAGAATACGTTGTATGCGCTTGTGCTAGTCCAATATACTCTTACAGTCTTACCTAGATCAAAGTTGATAATGATAACGAAATAATGAAATACATATGAAGAAAAACGTGTGTTTGTGGCATAAGATTCTAATTTTCCAAAACAAGTTTTGATACTTTGTACATTTAAATCATTTAATTTATTTTTATTTTTTTACAAATTTATACTTCGTATTTATAGATAAGTATATTCCAAATTATGTTATTATTGGCTTACAACATTCCACATTTACACTTCAATTCTATTACTACGTACCATATACTTCGACATTTCGTATCTATCATACCATACAACAAATTAAAGCTAAGAATCTAACATCTCACTAGAATGAATCCCTTCAAGAATGAAATTAAAACATATAGAAGTTAAGTAATTGAATCTGCTTTCAACCTCTCTTATTAGCTTCTATTCTCTGCTTAAATGCTTAATGGTGATTCTGATGAAGGCCTATTCAATATTTCTTATACGTATCATGGAGTATATTTTATTGTAGTGAGTGCATGTTAATTTTAATAATTGTAGTTTTTTTTTTTAATGGATATAATAGTACACGTTTGTTCTTATTTTGTTGGGTTACAAGCAAAGGGCCAAGACACGAGGACAATATGTTAATATAATATAGCTAGACAAAATTTTAAAACTCGCAAAAAATTCAACAAATTAAAACTAATTGACATTCCGTGTATATGTTCTCCTTTACCTATATATATAGCCGGATTCAGATGTAATCCAATTGCACCCTACGCGACAAGAAATAGTTGGAAATTCGGAATGTTGTAAGCAAATAATAATATAATTGAAGTTTGCACCATAATTAAAAAAAAAAAAAATTCCACTTGATTGATCATTCAATTCACATACTCCTCATCAGGCCGAGGGATAAGGGCGAGTTCCCTTGTACCAAAAGTCTTTGACCTGTACTACTAATACAAGTGGTAGTATAATAATTAACCAACCAATAGCAGAATACTAATACTATAGTATATATATTTATATGCAGATGATCATCATAACAGTGTTAGTGAAGGGGAGCCAACATTGGGTATGGTTAGAACTGAGGAGCAAACCATAAATGAACCGACAAACACCACCATCTCTCACGGCGTAATCTCCGTGATCGGACGCCGAAGATCCATGGAGGATGCTGTGACTATTGCCCCTGCCCTAGTCCAAGTCACTAAATTCCATCCCAGCATGAGAAACAGCTTGTCCGATGAGTTGATGAGTTATGATTTCTTCGCCGTGTATGATGGACACGGGAGCCACAGGGTAGCACAAAGGTGTAAGGAGAGGCTCCACCACGTCGTGGCTGAGCAACTCCTTAACGCGGGCCGAGTGGATCACTGGGAGAGTGTGATGACCACCAGCTTTTCTAAGATGGAAGGTGAGGTAGCAGCGGAGGCCGAGGAGGCGGTAGAGTCTACCGCATTGGTGGTTATGGTAGGCAAGGAGGAGATTGTGGTGGCTAATTGTGGTTATTCTAGAGCTGTGTTGTTCTGTGACGGCGCCGCATTGCCCTTATCACGTGATCGTAAGGTTAGATCTCGTTTCACTTTCTAATAAACAACCATAAGCTAAGGTTTCTGCTTATCCAACTTTTGCTATTTTAATCATCTTTGATGCCCCTTGTACATATGATTCAACTTATCTAGTCATGATTTTTAATTTGTTACCAATTTTATACTTCATACATCGTATAATGATTCAACTTATCTAGTCATTATTTTTAATTTCTTACAAATACAAAATTTATACTCCATACATTGCATAATGATATACTTGTATCATATAAGTATGATAAGTTTCAGACTTCAAAATCACCACATCATAATGATCTTATCTATTTATCTCAAAATCCACGTCTAAATGATTGTTCATCACCAATTCATTTATTTGTGGCTAGGATCATTGCGTTGTGGACTCGTGGTGGTCTAATATCACCTAATTTATAATTCCTCTTCTTTTTTTTTAAATTGAGCGTTCAACTGGTTTTTAAAGGGGATTAGGTTAAATGGCTAACATGTTAGGTACTGCGGAATAAAAGATAAAAGTTTTTTTTTTTTTTTTTCTCTCTCTCTCTCTCTATTCGGCTTCACCTCATTTTATACCGAGTAATTCGTATGTTTTTGGAGCAACGTGTAAGGTATTAGAGGTTTCCTTCACAGAAAAGGATATGCTCTTGACTCTTGACCCTTGAGGGTTCTGCCGTTCTATTGCCTCTATAGTTGGGAGCTAGCCACTCTTACAATTTTACCTTGCCTTTAATGTAGATTCTCTGCTTATGTTGTACGGAGTACATCATTTATAGATAAATGTGCAAGGATCATAACCATAATGGTATGTAACCTCTAGCTAAGAAATTAGAGACCAAGTTCATTATTACATTGAGAAATTATGAGTAAATTTGCGGGTAATAAAAAAACTACTCCGTAGAATACTTTAATGTGTATGGTCCTAATTAAAAGACTACAATGACTAGCAAAATAAATTGTGCCAGAAAGAAACGATTGTCATTTTTACAAAAATAATGTCCTAGCAAAAATTTGGCCTTAGATCAAATTCCTAAATTTAAGACTATTAAGAGTGCCTTTTTATTAGTAGTTCTGTGTGTGAACCTCCAAGATTTCAGTATATGGTCATTGAAAAAGCTTATTCTCCAATATTTGATCACGATAATGATTTGAACCATATGAATCTAATAATTTCTTCCTCCTTGTGAATGCGGCCTGATGGACGAGATGGAGTCAATGTGATGTCCGTTCCTGAGGTGACAGTCCACAAGCGCAGCGCATCAGAATTCTTCATGGTGATTGCTAGTGACGGTTTATGGGACGTGGTTTCCAACGAAACAGCCTGCGACTTAGTGAGGAAGTGCTGTTCGGGTGAAGTAGTTAGTAGAAGAATGGTGGAAGGCTCAATAGGCAACTGTGCAGCTGCTTCTGCTGGAATGCTCGTGGAGTTAGCTCTTGCTCGCGGCAGCCAAGATAATATTAGTGTCATAGTGGTTGAATTCAGCAAGGCTCAAGGCAATGCCGGAAGCTCAGCTACCTGATTGATAGTCTGAAACTTAGTTGTATGGCTAATTATTTTAACCCTTCCCTGAATTACATTATGCACTATACTCTTACAATGTGTAAGTGTGCAATAGTAATGTTCTTCCTTGACTTACTAAGAGCAAGAAACGTTTTGTTGGGAGTGTTAAAATCATTTCCCGTCTTTAGCATACGTGTATCATATTAGACTTTCAGTACTCTCCTTGTTATATTGTGTTTTTTTATCTATCGATTACTCTGCAGTACGATAGTTTTAGCATGTAGAAGAGAAGTTGGATGTTTTTCTTAAGACATGAATCAGTAACTGGTTTATAATTTCTGAGAGTTGTACACTGAGATTTTTAACCAATTGTATGTGATTTTTGTCTTAACATAATTATCAATTAACAGTTTTTGGCTTTTATCGGCCAGGCTCATTGATCAATAGCTTCATTTTTTTTGCCTTAGTAATATCTTGCATCTCCATATACCTTTGTTCTTTCACGGTGTATTGGATTCCTTGCAGTATATTATTATGTTCGGATTGGTTATCTAATGCAAGAGAGAAGACAACGAGGTACTTTTACGTTTGTACAATTGTACTCTTTCTGATAACCTTACTGGCTGAACCGTACCACTTCAACTGCAGCCTGTGGCAGCACAGTATCGAAGAACGTTTCCCTATTTCTAGACCCAATAAGTCATACAACTATATGCTACTATATATATACTATTTTAGGATGTTTGAAAGAATAGAGAAGCCTTCCAATTGATGTTGTTTATACTCCTTTCGAATTTTAATAACCTTACTGAAAACTGCAGCTTGTGACATAACCGGATAGCCCTGTATAACTGTATTTAGTTTCAATCGTTCGAAGATTGAAAAACATTCCTTTTCTGCGGAACCAATAGTCACATATACAATATACTCCTACTTCTTAAGAATGTTCGAAAATATTATTAAAAAGCCCAACTTTTATTAAGTTAAGGGTATTTGTGAATAAAATAGGGCGATTTAACTACGGATTGCTGGAAGAAAAAAAAAAAAAAAAAAAAGGTAGTTAATTGGTTTTTATACTTGCAAATAATTAGGAATTTCTAAAAGGCATCAAATGTTTTTGTTCATGATTCCTAATGCCTTATCTGATCAGAATAAGCTTAAATTGTTCTTCCCCTTCAAGCAGGAGGCCTTGCCCAGTGATGCATTTTTGCATTTAAGGAGCCTTGGATATTCTCATACAGGACTAGTATACAGAACAGGCCCTTAGTTATTCACCTTGATCATATTAATCGTGCCAAATCAAAGATTTAGATAAATTAAACAAAGGCATTGCCCAAATCATGGCGTTGTAGCTAGTGCAGCTAGCAACTCCACAACAAATAAAAGTCCAACACCTAAACCTTTAGACCCGATTGCGTATTATAACGCGAACCACTTGGCTCAACTAAGGAAAAGCTATAATTGCAAACATCTACAAGCATTTTGACCAACCCCAATACATGTACCGCGCTGACAGTAACGCCGGTAATGCTCCAAGCCTATCACAGTGTGATCCCAACCACTTGGCTCAACAATAGAACAGACGAACTGCAAAATGCTAACACCAAACAGCTACAACATTTCGATCTGGCCCAAACATGCATCGCAATGACAGTAGTGCCCCAAGCCTTAGGGCATATTCCAACCTCAACCCGTCAACTGACTAACTGAGCCAATAACAATGGCATACACAAATCCAACATCCCAGCTCAGTGTGTAAACTTGAGAGAGAAAAGTAGGATAAAATGTCAACTTTGAGCAATTACATTAGAATTTGCGGTCTAAAATAACAATCTTACTGCATTAGATAAAGTATGACATAGATTGTCATTTCTTTGATTAATGATACCAACAAGTAGATGAGCATAAGAAGGGGTGAAATAAAATTCTTAAAAGAATTAGAGCCAGAAAACAATAATACACCATTACACAAATGCTGAAATCTATACTCATTCAAACCAGAAAAGAAAATAAAATGTTGTAGAGTTTACAACGTCAAACACAAAACATGACGAAAAAGTCACACCTTAGAAGCACTCTCTATAGAACTACATGAAAGGAACTAAAAAAAGACTCCCAACAAGTTTCTCACTCTTCTCTCTTTTACACATCTTACTCTTGCAAATTCTATATATATAAGCAGCGAAGGCGAGGAGAAAGAGGATGAGCACTCATATTTAATTCGTCTCTTCACACCTTTCGTCCTCCAACCTTACACTCTTATTTACCCTAAAGCTTTCTTCTCCTACAGCCCTATTATCATCCAGTGATATATGTAGAACTATTAACTCAAAAAGAAAAAGAAAAAGGATAATAACTTGACTGGATTCTAGTATACGCTGCACAATTGTTACATCAACCCCAAGTTCATGAAAAATAAACTTGTGTTCCTGTTCTTGCTGAACTTACAGCCGTTTTTCCTTAGGAAAGGTTGTAACTTGAGACTGAAACACTAGCAGGAGTTGAAGCGTGGATGTAAACAAACTCAAGGCTCTTTCCAGCTGATAAGGCGCTCATCCATGCTGGGAAGCTGTAAGTATTTCCATACTTTGAAAGACCCCAAACAGGACCATAAAGCTTGTTAATAGACAGCTTCATGTCCTTGATTGTTTTGTTAGACTTGTTAGTCACTGTTGTGGAGTATCTGTAGTATGTTCTTCCTTGGTGAACCCAGGAAGTTGTGACCTTCTGGTTGATGGAAAGGTGAGCAGATGATGAAGCTGCAAAGGAAAAAAAAAAAAACAATTCGTTAAAGGTGAAATAAGCCCTTTACTTTGCTGCAGCCACACCCAAGATCAAGTTTAATTTGTTTCTTAATAGTCATTTAAGGAAAGTAAATCAGTACCTGGAGCATGAACTGGTTTCACTTGTCGTGCTGGAGTAGGATAGAACTTTCGCACAGGAGTAGGCTTTGCCTTAGGTGCAGGAGTTGGTTTGGCCTTTGGTGCCGGTGTTGGCTTAACATTTGGTATTTGAACTGCAAATTGTCGAAGTCATTGTTAAATACTCACATTCGATCCACTTAATATATTTCTGAGAGTTCTAGATTGTGGCCATTGAATTTACCTGGAAGTAGCTGGTTGTAACCACTGTGACCAGTCAGACGAGCCAGAACACCAATAAGAGGAGCATTGTTATAGGTAGCTGGCTCAGTTTGCTCGTAATTGTCTCTTTCATCAGCAAAGTTATCATAGGCATCAGGCCCACCAACGGTAGCACCAGTAAGAACATTGGGATCACTTGATTTCATGCCATACCAAGTTGCATAACCTCCCCTGCAAGTGACAAATGTGGGGTTCTTCTTGTAGGAAACAATGGATGAAGCTCGGTGATGAACATGTTGTGGGTAGTTGCTTCCATATCCCACCATGTAACTTGTTGCTCTTGGGTTGTCTCCAAGGATGTAATCAATCTGGAGTTTAAGAAATTAGCAAAAGCAGTCTGAATCAATGGTGATTTCTCAAAATAAGGACAAACTCATCAAGGCCTAAGCATAATAAGAAGCACCGTAGTCAAGAAGCACATAATCATACCTGAGACTTGGCAAATGAGAAGAGCTCAGTTGGGGCAACTCGACCAGCAGAACACTGCATGCTTGAGTGAGCAGAGGTAAGGTAGTCTGAGTAAACGGTGAGAAGGAAGGATGCACCGGTGACAAACTGCAAGTTGTTCCACCTCTGACGGAAGATTAGTCCACCGGGTGTTTTCTGAACATTTTTGCTTCCCCTCCCAAGGCATGCACACAAAAAGTATTCTGCCTTCTGCTGGTATCTCTCGAATACTGATCTGTAGGGTCCTGCCTTGCCTTGCATCAAGAACTGTAATACAGAATTTGCCATATCATCAATTAGAAATGTAAATTATTAAAAACAGAATTACAACAGTCAATTCTATCTATGAAGCCCATCAATATATTTCAGTCAGATGGAAGGTATTTACCTTGGAAACGAGGACTTGAACACCGGCATACTTGACATCCCACCCGAATTCAGTCATTGCCCAGCCAGTTCCACCCAAAGCTTCAGCATTTTTGGCAAGGTAGCCCAAGTAGTATTGGTCATTGGTTGCCTTGTACATCCATGCAGCAGCCCATAGTAGCTCATCCTACACAAATTATAAACACCATCATCATTAATTTGAAAAAAAAAAAACTTTAACTTGTAATTTAAAGTTTATAACACATACAGAATACTCCAAGAACTCCGTATCAATTTTAATTTGTTACTTACAAAGTTCGGAGTACTACTTCAACCAAGTTACAAAGTCATATCCAAAAGCAAACGAATGTCAAAGATGTCAAAAATTGTCCTATAATATGTTGTGAAACCAATTCTGATTCTAAGTCATACAAAGTGATTGTTGGGCCAAGGAAGTCTGATAAAGAGTAAGGCTAAATGGCATTTGTCCTCAACGGGAATACAAGTTCATATCCTTAATCGGTATAATAGCTAACAAATCGTTAGCCATTAATGCGATTTTGAGAAGTTGGTTAAGCATCATTATTTAATGTTGATGGTAATGTGCATTAAATAATTCTACTTATGACTGTACTAATTACCGAATTTAATTTAAGTAGGAGAGTGAAAATCCATACCGCATAACCACTGACTGAACGATAGTACTTCTGAGCCACAGTAATACTGCTGTCATATTTGCCCCTGTACTTGTCAGCAAACTCAAACAACTGCACAACAAAATTCATTCATAATCAAACAAAAGGTAAACAGTGGCATGCCATGTAATTATGAAAATAAGTGAAGGGTAATTGTGGGAAAATATGTTTGTCTCAAATTTGTTAGGATATTACGCTACCGACAGTTGATGTCACGTGACCCCGTTTGAAGATTTTGCACTTTTACCGGATCTTAGAACATACGGCTGTGATTTAATTTGGGCCTTTTTGGGCCATCGTAGAATCTACGGTACAGATCCTGATCTGGTCCCAAACCCAACCTCTAAATCTGTACGACAGTGATTAAATTAGTTTTGCATTGAATGCTCCCATATACCCGCCGAAATTTATTTACCCGTATTCTAGCAATACTTTATATAATCTTTTTTCAATTTTAAAAAATTTGATTGGTATTATTTGTCTGATTTATATGTCCCCCTACTACCACGAGAATACATTGTATTACTAATTCAAATTACATTAAGATTCTTTTTGTTTGGCTGAATTGAACTAAATCAAAAATAGAATAATGAACTGAATTGAGTTGAGTTGAGCTAAACTGAATTGAAAATAAGCTTGAAAGAACAGTGTGATAATTATATCCATCCCGAACTCTGGTAACACGCTTGGAGGGTGACAATATTATCATCCGTAATTTTGACACTTTGTAAGTTAACTTAAAGTTCCCAAGGGGCAATTACTTAAAGTTCCCAAGGGGCAATTAGTACGGAGTAGTAGTAAGATTAGTCAAAGTCCAAATGTAAAATGACACCTTGGAATTAGAAATGCGTGCTTAGAACTCTAATATCGATGTATTCAACATAAAACTTTCATTAACATTTTCATAAAAATCATGCGTGGTAAAATGAATTATTTATGACTATGAAATGTAAATTTGCCTTTTATTTTATTTTATTTTATTTTTAATTATTTAATTTCTGTTTCTAGGTTGACCACTTTAAAAAAGCAATAGGGCAAGCGGTTAGGAAATAAATGTAGGGTAATGTTTAAGGGTTATGCTTAATACATTATTATATTTCTTAAAATAAAAATAATTTGTAAATATATGATAAATTTACGCGTAAATTAATGTAATAAATACTTGATTTTATCAAATATTACTATTTTTGGCTTCTTATTCATAGCTTTTAGGACTATTTATTATTTTCCATAAATGCATAGTATAGGGTTGTTTTTGCTGAAGTAGCCCACACTAAGCAACACAGCACCCTACGCAATGCCTCACATAGAAAGAGAAAAAGTGTTCTGCCACAGTAACCGTCTCATAACTTCCGCTTTGGCCATCAATTTTCATATCATAACCATTTAATGAAGGTGAAACACACACACACTCGTACACAGTCACACACCACTTTCACTTATTTATGTCGCCCACTGGCCTTTTATCTTATCATCCATCACCTATTAAACCCGAAATCGCATTCATATTATCTGATCACTTAACTATGTTAATTTAATTATTTATTCGTTTAAGGTATAAGGTTCTTTTTAAGTGATGTTTAATAAGAATTGGCTAACCATAATTAGACCGTTTTAATGAGATTTGTGTTGTCACATTCACGCTATTAATGCAAGCATAATTTGGTAGGTTAGTGGCCTAGTACCGGACATATTGAACATACTCCTTATTATTTACCAACTTTGTTAACCAAGCTCTTGTTTATACTTTACCAACTGAGCTAGATGACATACATTAATCAGCTCGTGTTATGTATAGATTTTTTATTATAAAAAAAAGGTATACCTGACGAGCATGAGTAAGAAGTTCTCTGGCGTAAGCAGGGTTAGAGCGGTGAAAGACGATGGAGGCAGCAGCCATGGCGGCGGCTGTTTCACCAGCAAGATCCGAACCGGGTCGGCTTGGGTCAATCTTGTAGGCGGATCGGTCAGTGGTCATATCTTCTGGCCTTTGCCAACAGTAATGGTCAGTGTTACCATCTCCAACCTATATTTGGTCAAATATTAATTTACATAAATTTTTGTTAACATTCCACTTAAAATTTAAGTATATAACCATTTCCAATGCATTCCAACTCAAATCAAACTTTGTTTTTACTTTCAAATTTTAGCTAACTTATTAATTAGAATACCTAATTTCAGTTAAGAAAACAGAAACAATAATAAACTAACAAAGAGAATACTTGTAATACACAAACTCCTCTGGATTTTGGTAGCTCGAAAAATCAACAATGATAATATTTAAATTACAATTTTTGAGTAATTAATGATTAATGATATGTACTCTTATTATAATGGGGTTAAATTGTACTCCATATCTAAAGAAAAGTATTTAAGCACAACAAATAGAATACTTTGTTGAGCATTTTGTTTGGTTCCTCTCAATTGAAGTAAAAACAGAGCACTCTGTTTCACATGAGAATGATTATATTTTAGAGTACAATTTGCACAAACATTACCAAACAAGAAAAAGTTTTGTTCAATAAACTTGTACTACTATCCCTATTTTCATAGAAAATCAATTTGCCTTGTATACAACACGTCAACCAAAAATCACACACTTTCTCCATTTTGGCAACACTTTTGACTTTTACCCTAATCAAATACACTACTTAAATTTCAATGATTTATAATCATGAAAAAAAACAGTCACATGAATCTTATTAGGTTTATCTTATGTTTATTCTCATAACAAGTACAAATTCATAATTCGTGTATTAATAAGCGTGAAAGTCAAAACGTTTAATCCGTTATTAGCCAGATTTATTTGTTTAAAACAATCTTTTGTAACAACAACCACATTAACAATAATTTAATGTTATTATTATTATTATTATTATTAATAATAATAATAACAAATTAATAGTAGGTAAAATACAAAAATGAAGAAATTACCTCTCCATAAAGAACATTGGGCTCAGGGTGGGCCTTAATAAAATAATCAGTACCCCACTTAATAGCTTCAAGAGCATGGCCAAGTTCACCATTAGAAGCCATTTGTCCTCCATACTCAATGACACTCCATGACATCATTGTTACTGTAAACGCCATTGGTAGTCCAAACTTCACATTGTCACCTGCATCATAGTATCCTCCCACCAGATCCACCTATACATCACCATTTCATCTTTAGCACACAATTCATTCTACAATATTCTGATTAACTACCCATTCACCTAATTACCACCTAGTCGACATTACGTTACTAGTTCAAATTACATTATTATCACGTGTTGCAAGTTGTAATGTTACTGGTTCAAATTACATTATCGACGTGACTATTGAGACTTACCCCGCTGGTCTTGCCGTCATTTAAACCAGAATGAGATCTCCAAGTGACCCTTTGATTATGGGGAAGTACCCCAGATCTTTGGGCTTCATAAAACAGAATGCCCTTACTTAAGGCATCACCATAGTTATGAGCAGCAAACACCATTGGAACACACAATAGTACCAAAACAAACAAACTACCCATTTTCATTTTCTTCATTGATTAATCCAATACTATACCACTTCTTCAAATTCTGGCAAAAATTCCCAGAAATTTTTTCACCAAAAAAAACAAAAAGTGTAAGATTGCTGCTATACTTGTGAAATTAACACAATGTTGGTGTGATTTATCACTAAAAATTGATAAACCCACCAAGAAAATGAGGAGAGATAGTTGAAAAAGGAGTAAATTTAGAGAGGGAAAGAAGTGAAGAGAGAGAAAGAGAAGAAGAGGAGTGAGGGAAGCTAGGAGGAGGTGAAGGGGGTCTATATAAGAAAAGAGGGCTAAGGAAGGTGCCAATTGTGCAGAAAAACAGGCAAAGATTATTTAATGTCAATTCAATTTTTTTAAAAATTTTTTCATGAAATTAGTATTTTCTTTTTTTATTTAAATTTATATTTTTGGAAATGAAAAATAAAAAAATGAAAAGAGAAAACGGTTGAGAAAAGGGGCAGAGTCGTGTGGGAATGGTTCCCTCGTCTTTACTGGGAAGGGTCGGTGTGGACTTAACGGAAGAAGGAAAGGGGGTAAATTTTATTTATTTTTTTACTGTGGTTAATAGTTGGACAGTTTATTTAGGTTTTACAAGTATGATATGGACAAAAAAAGATCCAAATGAGTCATAAATTTATGTTTGTTTTACTCATTTGAGTTGAATTGGAGCATTTAATTTTACCTCTGTTGGTGGAGAATTTATTACTTTTGTCAATGGAGATGTGGGATGGGAACTCATGTTGTTTGGACTTTGAGGGATTGTTTCATATTACGATTGAGGCTGGTCAAAACAGCTCAAAAATAGTCTTAATTGCTTTTATTTTGAAGTATTGGAAGAATAACTCTATGTCCCTATTGAACTGATATATCTCACATGTCTATCTAGTTCATCTTTACAATTCAGACACATTGGAAGAGGAAATGACATTTATAGTTTGTAATTCTTAAAATGTTACTCCCTTCTTTTTTTTAATAAGTGCTTTACTTTCCTTTTTCTTGAAATTACATGTTAGATGTTGACTTGTATTTAATAATTGATTTAATTGCTTGAATTCACTTTTACCTCATTATACAAATCCCACAAATATATAAATACTATAATAGCATAAGCATTTGAAATACAATTGACAATATTTACTTGTCGTGATCATGGTTTTAATTGGGTTACTATAACCAACACCGTAAATACAATCATGACCTTATTTTATTTATAATTACGATTGTACCCAAACTAGCTATTGATTTTAATTTTGACATTTAAAGAAGGTGCTCTGTCAATTTAGGTATTCAAGTCGGGTTCGGGTTGGGTCAAATTAGGTCTTGTGTCAAATCAAATCCAGGTTATGTCGTGTCAATTTAGCCTCCAGATCGGGTTTAGGTTCGGGTCGGGTTGGGTCGATTTCGGTTTAGGTTATTTCGAGTCGTTCATCCTTTTGAGTATAGGTTGGGTTCGAGATTTGAGTCAAATTCACGCCAAGTTCAATTTTAGATTCGGGTAGTGCCGAGTCGGGTTTGGGCGCGTTAATAGCTGGTAAATTCGAGTTCGGGTTAAGGTTAGGTCAAATAATTATCAAGTCGGATAATCTTAAAGTTGGATCACTCTTGGGTTCGGCTCAAGTTCAAGTTGAATCAATATTAATGTGGTCAAGTTGAACCTATATAATTACGCCTTCCATAATTATTTGATCAAGCATTATGAAAATTTTATTAAACCTATATACGAGTAATAGAGAACAAAAGGTATACAATCTGAATAAATTGTACCAATAACCTATAAACAAGTAATAGAGAACAAAAGGTATACAATCTGAATAAATTGTACCAATAACCTATATACGAGTAATAGAGAACAAAAGGTATACAATCTGAATAAACTGTACCAATATGTTGTTAAGCCAACATATTAGTATATGATTTGTACAATTCTATGGTTTTATCATTGTAAACAAATTAAACTCAAGATTTATTTAGGCTAAACTTATTTCGAGTTATTGGGTAAAAGCACGTCTAGTTGATATGTAGTTTAAATTTCATGTTAGTTTTAGGTCTGGTTAATGGCAAGTTAGGTTAACAATGATGAGTCAAATAAAGTCTGATTACGGGTAACCATGACTCGGGTCAATAATAGGTTGTGTCGATTATAATCGTTTTCAGGTTCTAATTGGGTTGGGTACTAGTTCGGGTTCGGATTAAATTGGTTGGTAATTATTATTAGGCCGGGTGCAGGTTGAGGTAAGTCATAAAGTATTGGATCAAATTGGTTGTCGGTTAACACCAGGTCGGGTTTCATATCCCTAATTTCACCCCATTGTTTGGGTGTAGAGCAGGTTCATATCATTGTCGGTTCAGGTCGAGTTCTCGAGTCGGGTCAGTTTTTAACAGCTACAAATTAATAACAATACTAGTAAACCCTTTATATTACACAAATTATAATACTCCGCCTTTTATCTCATAAATTTATTTTCGGTTGTTCGTTCATAGTACATACGTACCTACCCATATATACTAAGACAAAAATAATATAATGTAAATAAAAACTGAATCGTGTTGTGATTACATATTTACTTATGTACATAAAACTCTAATGAGAATGTTAACCCCATGCCACAAACTCAAAAGGGGAGTACATCGTGTGATAGATATGCAGTAAATTAATAATACGGAGTAATTGGTAGTGAAATAGAAGTTTAAAAGCAAGTACTGAGTAGTGAAAATAAAAAGTGAGTAGAACTTTACTTCTAGTTGGAGTATACAGATGACAGACAAAGGGAGAACAAGTACCCTCGTGTAATATACTCTGTAAGACCATAACACAGAAACAAGAACGCCTGATTGAGGTGAGAACATACACTGATGACACCTGATCTAGCCGTAGCGAGCAAATATCAACAAAAAAATGGCCTGAAAATCGGATTCGAAAACCCGACAGTCCGACAAACAATACTTCAACAAAATCATATAAATTTCCATTATTAGTCCTTAATTATACGTACCACCGACAGTGTCCATGATTTCCCTTTTTTGTTTTTTACTCTATTTTTCATGCTAATCAAATAAATTATTTACTCTCAAATATAATTTTTTTTTTAATTAATCATGGTATTTTGGTAAATAAGTTTGAAAATGATGAGGAATTATGAATGAAAATAAATATAAAAATTAAAAATTAAAAATTAAAAAAAAAAAAAAAAAAAAAAAGGCAAAAGTGTATGTAGACTTGTAGAGTCGTAGAGAGGAGAGAAGGTAGACGTGGTCAAAAAGGACAGAGAGCCTCAATGTCAGAAGGCCGCTTTATTCCTAACCGCAATCAACGGCTTTCCTCCTTAAACCTCTTTTTTACTTGATTTTTTTTTTTTTTTTTTTTTTTTAACCTTTTCTAGCCAAAAGGTTTCCATTAGCTGATTAAAGAAAGGGAAAAAGGTTGAGAACCAAATGATAGTGATCTAAAGTTTGAACTTCAGTCTTGGTGGGAGATTTTCACTTTGATTTGGCGGTAAATTGGTAATCCATAATCGTATCTCATATAACTACTAAGAAGTGCCGTGAATGTGATCATAGTTACCTTAACTACTTATCTGGCTCTATTAAAACTTAATTTTTATTGTAAATTGGATTTTAGTAGCCAACATTATCAACTAGGGTATAATAAAAAGTTAGAATGTGTTCAATTATATAAATTATCAAATTATTTTAATTAAATTGAAAATTGGGTAACTATATTCACCCTTCTTATTTTTTCCTTTTTAAAATAAGTGAAAATAAGGTGAATAAAATTGAGCCTTATTATAATTTTTTTTCCTCGAAATATATCAACTTATTTTTCTTCAAAATAAGTGAAATAAGGTGAACAAATTATGACCTAAATGTTTTTTCTTTTATTTTGATTGTGCACGTTTGCTAATAAGATAAACGGAGGTAAAGCAATGAAGTTCATAATTTGTTAGAGCTTATTATTCCTAAAGATGAAACTGAAGTTTAACACTGTGGAATTCATGATCAATTATACTATAAAACAAACTCAAAGACCAATATCCATATCTAAACAGAAAAACTAGGATAAACTTAAAATGATGGCGAGATACATACAATTTGTCATATAATATGGATCCAACATTACATTATTTGCAAGCATTCCAACCCTCTCAAACACCAACATGGTGATAAGTGATCACACACATTAGAAGTCCATTCCAAATTACACCTCCTACAAAATTTGCCCACTCTAGATGTATAATATAATCCAAAATCAATTTCATTCAATTTACAATTATTCATTTGCAAAATGGGTTCATCAATATAATACTAGTCCACCCCACGCTCCCATCACCAATTTATTTGAACTAAAAAAACAAAAAATAGGAAAGACATTAGGAAACCGGACGTCAAACAAAGTCAAAAGAAGCAAAACTCCGCATTGACCGGCAATCGCCAGTTATGTTACGTCCACGCCACCGCATTTTCACTTACGCCGTCACCACTTGTTCAGGTCATCCCTTTTTTTTTTTCAAATTACACGACTTCATTTACGAGTACTCATTATTAAGCTCAAAATTTGATTGCCTAATATTTGCTGGCAAATTTTTAATTTATTTTTGTAAGATTTCTGACAATATCAGAGCCAGCTTATGTAAAATTAACTAGGCTATTTCCATGATGCTGCTTTCTTAATAATTTCTCTTTTTTACATCTTATAATCCGGACATTAATTCGAAACCTGAATTTACAGATATTTATTTTATTATTTATAACTAATAGAAAGTTCGAGGAAATTATTTAATTTGAGAAAAATTAATTATATGATTCCTGACTGCGCGCTTCCAAGTTCTAACATATTTGATTGTTCGTGTCTTTGGTTCTGGCAAATCGTAATTACATAAATTTTAGAGTGTACATTAATTTTCACAGCTCATAATTTTAATTTTAAATGTAATTACTCAACCCTAGATCTGATTTGAGTTAATGTACGTTTTGACAGTTCAAAATTCAAATCAGTGATCTGGTTTTTGTATTCAAAAATTAGGGAGGAGTATAAGGTTGTAGGAAGCCAATATTATTTGATTACAAGTACATATTATGATCTATCTATTGCTATACTTGTTACTCGTACTTCGCTAGGTATTGCTCTCGTGAAATAAATATTTTATACTCCGTATTTAATTTTTAAATATTGTGAAATGGGAATGCACAATCAAAATAAATTGGTAATTGTTACTCTGTTTTAAGAGAATGACTTCTCTAATTTGGCAACTCATGTGTAAATAACAAGAACTTTCAACGCTACTCTCTTCGTATGTTATTATTTGTTCCACTTTTTCTTTTACGGCTATAATTTATTACTTGCCCAATTTCATTTTTTGCAACTTTTAAAAATACTTTATTGT